TACTGCTTTGTAGACTATAAACATCACAAAAGACAGACAACTCACTTACAAAGTACAGTGGTTCACTAAAAAAAATGTGCTTTTCTGTTCTCCCTCAGAGTACCTTAGTGCAAAGCAAGACAAAAGTTACTCAAAAGCAGAAAAAAGAGCTAAATATGAAAACCTCCTCTGAAAGTTTCAAATAACTGTCGACTCAAAAGAAAATGTGTTTCTTCCTATCAGAGATGTATGGAGGATGTCATAGAGGAAGCCTGAATAACAGTCCTATTTTGACAAAGAGATTGTGTAGGTGTGTGTTTGTGATTTTTTTCCCTTTAAGAGGTTCAAATATTTGGAATTTGTGAAGCAGAGATGAAAACGAAGGACAAGCAAAATCTGCAAACTAGATGACTTAACAAGAGTGTGGGTGAGGCAATGGAGGGAGGGTGAGAAACACTCAAGAACAGAGTAGAAATAATTCAACCACACTTTGTGGGGTTTTTTTTTTTTAAGAAAACACTTTCAAACTGCATGAGAGACATGAAATAGCACTCAGTTGTCTTCCAAGTATTCTGAAAATTGTGAGTTTGATGACACCTTCTTCCTTTAATCATCTCTGCATTGTAAGGAACAAGGAAACTTCTTTATTGATTTGGTCTACTTGGGACTTCTAGGACAAAGGAGGATTAAGTATGCCTCAGCCTTCAGGTTAAGGAAGAATGAGTATCAGAGCTGTACACTCTGTATCAGACTGCCTTTGGCAGGCTCAGGCTACAGTATGATTTTGATGGATTGTAGCCGTGTAGGAATTCAAAAGATGCCAGTTGTTGGTGGACAAGCTGTCAAGACTTTTTATAAGAAAGAACTCAAGGGCCTGATTCCTATCTCTCGCAGTGTCTTGGAGTCTCCCAGTGTAGCTCCTGTAACTGAATGAACTTCTTGCAGAGACGAGAAACGTGTGATTTTTTTGCAGAATTGGAAAAATCTCCCCAGAGCACAGATGTGAGACCTCATTTAGATGGATGACACCTTTGAGTCAATGGGTTACTCAAAGCAGTACTTCATCCAGTTCTCCGAGACCTTCCTGAATTGAGTCAATATGGTTCATTAGGATGCAATAGGGTTTTAGGAGAAGCTAGAATATGACAAAAATGCCTTAAGGAACACCTGGAAGAACAAGGGCATGCAATAGGTCATGAATAAATTGTATAAAAGAACTGGGAAATGAAAAGGGAAAAAATGGAGATTGTTGTTTCCGACCTCAGATAGGGTTCCTGTGTGATCACTGAGGTCTGACCCTTAGAAGGAGGACTTTCAGAACCCCCTACCCAGAGTTAAAACAAGAATGGAGAGAATACAGCTTCCCCAGAAGTACTCTTGAGATGGAGACCATTTATTCTTGTCCCTACAGAGTCAATCCATCTCCCTCCAGAGAAATATACCTGCAGAGATTGATACTTGCTTTAAGAAAGGAAAACAAAGCAGCTTATTGAAGGCAGAAGTAATAAACAAGAAGAAATATATATATAAATATTTTCCAGAAAGTATTTGTTTCTTTCAGTCTCCAGCAAGTCTACGACAACAATACATGCCTCCCCTGCCAGACGCTGGGCTTTCCAAGGGCAAGAACAAGGTGCAATGTATGTTAATATACTCAGTATCTAACACAGCCCTTAGAGTATTGGGTAATAATTACTCCATGAATGAATGAAGTACAGACCAGCTTCCTTCTTTTGTTCTGATCCTGCTCCTGCAACCCTGTGGTGGGCAACAGTCTAACAAAAGATGGAAATCAGGTTAGTACCATCTCTATTATTACTCAAGGGCATAAAAACTGTTTTGAAAAAATCAGCCCTAGGTTCCTTAAAATAAATATTACATTTGCAGTTCAGAGTAGAGAATAAGTGAAGCTTTTCTTAAAAATATATCTAGAGAAGTGACAAATGTCTAACTCTCTAGACAAATTCTCCTATAAACCATAGCATTCAAACCTATACACACAAGGAATGATGCAGCATTAGATATATGTTTACAGTAAGCAAACACACTGCTGCTTACATAAATAGATTTGTTTGGTGGGAATGATATCAATGAAATAGCCCCCTTAAAATGTGAAATTTCACAGGTGTTTTTGGTTTTCCTACAAAGCACATTCTATAAAATACTTTGGTAAACAGCAATTACCAAAGAAAGTTAAAGTGTAGGATTATGGTGATCCAGCCGGCCAACATGTGCAGTCAGGAAACAAGCTTAACTGTGGTTAAGGGGGCATCAGAATGCTTTCAAAGACTTCTGCTTTAGATTATAGTTGGTCAAGGATTGAAACACACAAATCAACAGGTGCACAAAACTCCACGGATTTTGGTACCAGTGAGCAAAGATAGGCAGAGTTCACACTTCTTTGTCACTGAAAAGTGTGTTTTCCTTTGGAGGGAGCAGCATGCTTGCTTTTCATACACATCTAGTGCAAGTTAGTGTTCTCTGGGGTTATGAAATATTCCAACCCTGTAAAAATAAGTTTTATTTAGCCCTGAGACTCTGCTTATAAGAGTGACGTGCTGATTGCACTGTCTTGGCATTCGTCATTAAGTCTGTGATACATAGTATGTATGGATAGATAGTCTACAGATATGGGGAGGTTTGCTGGTAGATTCTGTAGTGGAGATGTGGCAAGGATGGAGTTTCCCAAAGTCTTCACCCTACAGAGCTACCCGCGAGCATAAGTAGATGAGAGAAACGAATATTCCAAGTCGGCCTCTGTTAGTCCTCCATTTCTTATATCTGTACTATGTCAGCAATATATAGTCCCTACTTCTCAGAGACTTGAATAATGAGCAGTTCCAGTTTTATTACTCAACCTTCTTTTTCCTTCCATTTCATTATTGGAGATGCTTCAGGCTAAACCCACTGCACTGCATGGTGACTTTTATTTCAGGGGACAAAGGATGATGTCGCCAAGCAAAAGGCTGATTTATAAAGCCCTTTTATGGAAATAGAAAATTCAAAAGTGAACATTGGAAATAGGAAAGAACAGGGCAGGAGGAAACAATATTTTAAGATCTTTCCTCTTATGAATGGATCATTCATCTTATTAAAGTTAGAAGGGGGAAAAAAAATGCCCTTGTTAGAATTACTTTAAAATAAATTTGCTAGCAAAAGGATATAATGGAAATGATTAAGTAAGAATCCACATAAAATTTTAAAAAGAGAGTGTGTCTTTAGAACACCTTCTATTTAAGAAATATGATTGCAAAAGAAATCCTTTCCCCATGTTCTCTGACACTGAAAGCTTAAAATAGACCTGAAATGGGGTGAAGCTGAGGAGTCCCTCATTGTGAGCCTCATCATGCAGGAAAGTGTTAAAACAGTCAGAGGTGACAGACACGAAGAGAAAAAGACGGGATTCAGATTGAGTCTGCCTTGTAAAGAGAATCAGCAAGTACTTTCCACATCTGTGGCTCATTCTGTTTGCATTTCCAGCATACTAGAACATTTGCATCATTTCCCCCTCATTTTTTTCCTGAAGATGGCTCAGAGGCAAAGAGTGAAGAATGTTCCTATAGAAAAACCACCAGAATTCTTACCACCACTGGGGGATGAGCCCAAGATAGCTTCTTGAAGGAGTGATGATGTTCCTTGACTGTTTTGGTACCAAAATGATGCATACCCTGAAACATATCTCTGCCTCACCTGGGAGTTTATGTCTATGGAAAAAAGCATGTGGGGACCTTTATATACAAAGGATGCAGCAGTCTTGAAAATATGATGCCCTGCAGAACCCAACTGCTCCTCTAAAACTATGGAAAGCAGTGGTTGCTTCCTGGAGCTAGTCAAAATGCCTCACACATCAGTTCATCCTAAACCCCCTAGAAAAAATGGCTCGGTGGCAGACGTGGGTTATCACGTCTATTCTAAAATGTGAAACTTGTGTCTATTCTTTTCACCAGATCTTTAGTGAGAGGATGGAAGGAAAGAATTCTGTTTGGCATTTCTTTGCTTTCATGCAGTTTTTGTTTGTTGTTTGTTTGTTTTGCTTTTTGTTTTTATTTTTCTTTAAAGCTGAGTTAAGATGGTTTTAGCTCTTTCATGGAACCAAATACTATTTTAGACTTTGACTTGCTTTTTGATGCAACAACTGATACATATATATATATATATATATATATATATATATATATATATATATTTATATATCTGTATACTAATCTCAGGAATGACATAGCTAATATTTCTTACAAAATTAGAAGAGGCATTTTTGAAGTTATAGAACATCTACTTCCTAGCAGCTGTCTTTTTACCTCTTAGTTTCAAGCGACTATTTTCCATGCTTCCCTTAGGTTTATGCTATTGTGTGCTGTTCTAAAGTGTCAGCTCCAGGAGACAGTGGTAAGAAAGGAACACAGTAATAACTTATGACTATCAGGAGTCCTATTTTCGAAAATACTCAGGGGATAAGAGAGTGAACAATGATGATGCGTTAGGGCAATGGGCTTCCTACAGTAAGGAAAATTAACACACGACAAACCTCTCTTTTTCCTTTTAAAGTGCCGCTGACACAAACCAGGCCCTAGCGTCTTCCTTTTCGGTACCCTGAGTTTTCTGGTCAGAGTGGCCTTGGAATGGAGGAGGGTGTCGAGGATGATGGTTACATGCCGAAGTCACAGATCTCAGGTTCAAGGTAAGCCTGCAAGGCTGAACTGCTGCAGAACTGAAGGCTGCATCTTAGAAAGCAGAAATACAGAACCGAATATGGACATGTGCACACCCATGTGTCTCTTCCTTGTCTAAAGTAGTCAAGTCAGTCTCTTGAGTGATCATTTCACCGTGATAAGTTTGTTAAAGAGGAAGGCAGTGGCCATAGCTGCCTAGTATTCTGGGCTGGTTTGAGGGGATAGATGCTGTGGTGAATGCAGGTATGTCCCCAAAATAAAAGGGAAACGGAGAAAGAGAATGACCAAAATTAAAGGATAGGAGAAAGTGGATAAGGAGGAACCAAAAATGAGCAAAGAAAGAACATGAGATGACCCTGCAGTTTTTCAGATGAAATATTCCCGCTTACACTCGCTCACTGTGTTTTGCAAATCAATGTCATTTCTAAAGGAACTGTCCAAATTTTCTGGATATTCCTTCTCCTTCGTCTGGTTGGTGCGATGTGACTGCTTATGCTGATAAAGGAAGCGGCTCATGATGCCAACGATCGAGAAGATGATGAATATCACCACTGCTATTACTCCTGTTGAGAGAGAGGGACAAGAAGGCAATTATCACAGATCATCTGATCAGGAGAAAGAACTGAAAGAAGGCGACAAGGGCACTCAGGACAAAGAACCAAGCAAAAACAAAAGCAAGCAACAAACTCTGCCACGTGTCCAGAAACAAACACAGGTTGTAACGTTTTCAGGCTTCAATTACAAAAAAAACCCCTCTTTCAGACTGGTGATGGAGCAAGCCAGTTTATATCAGAGAAGCTTATATTTAACAGACTAAGAATGTCATCAAATAAACATAGAATCAGACCAGCAAATGATCTCTTGATAAATTCTTTCAAGACTTGCCTTCAAGAATATGCCTGAATCACTTTTAATTAGAACACTTCTTTGTCACCTTGCAAATAACCAAGTATCTTAGAACTAATTCAGCATCCTAGAAAAGAATATTTAAGTAACTCACTTCCCAGTACATACACTATGGGTATAAATTGTTTATGATATATGTTTGCTTTACTAAAAATGTCTTATTAATCATGAAATGCTTACTAAACATTCAGGACATTTTACCCTGCTGCACACTCTGTAAGATGCGGAGTGGTCTGGAGATGGTGCCCCTCTGTCCTCCAGAGTCAAGTGCAACAGCAAACATCTGCCCTATTGTGTCAGATTCTCCCCCACTTTGATTGATTGTATGTGATTCTACTGGACCTACTTGGGAAGTCACCCTCACTGATCCTAAGGTCTTGTCCCTACCTTTGCCAGGAAGTCTCTTGAGAAGTGAATAGCAAAACCCAGCAAAGGATGGTAAAAATGTGGATACTGTCAAATTTTGAAAGAGAGAAAGACTCTATGGGAGAAAGAGTGTTTCTCAACATTTAAATCTTTGAAAAGTATTTATGATAGTCAAAGATAAACTCATTCCTAATAAAGTATATTTTCTGCCATTTTCTTATCTAAGTAGAATGACTCTTGAGACAAAATGTTTATTTTATAAAGTAAGATGGTTTACTTTTTAAAATATTCCTAAATCATAATATAGCATTTCCACCAACTATTTTAGAACAAGGCAAAGTAAAACCAGGTTGGGACCCTGTGGGAGAAGGTGAGGGTGGGATGTTCTGAGAGAAGAGCATTGAAACAAGTATACTATCAAGGGTGAAACATATCACCAGCCCAGGTTGGATGCAGGAGACAAGTGCTCAGGGCTAGTGCACTGGGAAGACCCAGAGGGATGGGATGGGGAGGCAGGCAGGAGGGGGGACCGGGATGGGGAACACATGTAAACCCATGGCTGATTCATGTCAATGTATGGCAAAAACTACTACAATATTGTAAAGTAATTAGCCTCCAACTAATAAAAATAAATGAAAAAAAAAAGAATCTGAAGACTATTCTACCACTGGTAAATAATATTGCTGGACTTCAACTTGTCATTGACATATTTTAAAAGTTGATGAAATGTGTTATGTGAATAATGTATTTTGTGCTCTTAAAAAAATAAAAGAATCTGCCTTCAAAAAAAAAAAAAAAAAACTAGAAATAAACTGGGTATAGTGAGTGATACCCAGGAATGGGTTGCAGCTTCAAGAGATGAAACACAGAATCGATTTCTGTTCCTTCAGGACATGGAATGTATTTTTCTACTCCTTCAGGATGTGGAATATTTCCATGTGAACCTCTAGGAATTTTCTTCAGGGGTTGGGATGAATATCCTGTTCTTAGACTCAAGAAAGCCTGTACACTAGTGGGAAAAAGTCAGCAGTCACTAAAGTATTTTCCTACTTGTCAAATGAAAAATTATATGAAGAGAAACAGGCATCGAATGGTTTCCTATATTTCTTGTTGCAAAACAAAAATCAACCCGGACTTTATTCCTGAAGCGGAAATTCAGGCCAGACATTTGAAGAACTTCCTTAAGGAAGCGCTGTGTGTACGTGCGTGTGCGTTTTCTTCGCAATCTTACTGTGATCATGCACGTCTGGGCTCCCCTTGCCAGTTGCCCTGCCTTCTCTAAAACACTACTCACTGGTTCTGCTGTTACCTGTTTGTCCACCCCATCCCACCCGACCCCGGCCCAGCTGTGAGGTCTCACAGGGTAGCATCCATGTTTTTCATCATCCTACTTCTATACTTAGTGCTGGTCCTGACTGGTAATGGGGCTCATTCCATAGGTGTTAAATAAATGGTTACTGCTGAGTTTTAAGCGCAAACTCCATCTGGTGTGGAGCAGCTCATCTAGCTTGCCAGAAGGCAGAGAGAGGGGCGCTGTGAGGACCCTGGTTCTCAGATGGAAGTGAATTCAGTCTCTCACAGGCATCTTCCATTAAACAAGGTTTGGGAGTCATTCTGTGTTGTGAGGCCCAGATGGACAAATCGAGCTCCTGGAGGTAGCAGCGAAGCTGAGGAAGAATGCAAAGCGGAGAGACCAAGAGGCAGGGAGGAAACGGAGACGTCAGGGAGAAGGGAACGCGGGGTTCACAGCAGAACAGACAAGATCTGCCTCTATAGTCATATGTGCTGCTGGATTGGAAACTACAGTCCTGCGGGCTTCACCCTGCTCATCTGATCCACTCGAGGGAGAAAACCGCCAGGATGATGGCTTTGCCATCTGTCTGTGCCAATGCGGCTTCTTACCATATGTAGTTTTATTGGTTTGCTTCCTGCTTTAGGAAAAATGACAACTGGATGAGATCAACAGGATGCGTGCTGCCTGTCTGGAGGTAAATTATCCAGCTGTTGACTCTGCTCAGCTGCCTGGTGGTTGAGGGGAAGGAAGACTCCATGGAGCTGCTAGTACCTGGCCTGGGGGGAGGGTGTCTTTGACCATCAAAGCATTATGACTATTCATGAAAAGGCTCACATTCTTGCAGATCATGCAGGGCTCTGGGTGCTGGATGGCCACAATTGAGGAAGAATTCAGACAATTCCTCCAGAGCACAGAATCACTTATGTCTGTTCTGCTTTCAGCCACAAAGCATGGTTTACCTCCAATGACGGCTGAGTCACTTCGCACTGCGTTGGTGAGTGGTTCCCGCTCATCTGTCTTCCCAAAAAGATCTGAAAGGAGTAAAAGACACTCAAAGTCCTAGCAGGAGGTCTATAATGTGCAGTTGACATGACACACCTGTGGGTTAGACCAGGTGATCTCAGAGAAATGGAAGTTGGCATTTTGGAAGGAACCCAAACAAGCATATACAGAAAAAAAAAAAAAAAAAAAAACAGTGTTTGAAGTACTCTGCTTATACCCCATACTTGCATGACTCTGTTAGATGCTATATAAGCTGTAATATAAGGAGTTAAATAAATTGATGGGGGTATTATACTCATGTCTGCTTTAGTCTACTGCTTACCTCTCAGCCTACTTTTGATGTGCTTACCTCTCAGCCTACCCTTCTGCTTTGCTGGACAGTTTCTATACATGACAACACCTTCTTCCCTCAATCACACTTGCCTCTGCTTCAGAGGTTTCTTTAATTACAAGAGATTTCTGAGTTCATTGGCAGGAAAGAACAAAAGTATTTGTGCATTAACACACCCAGGAAACCCTCACCAGAGGGTTTTACTAGATGTACATTAATGTATATGGTATTTTTTTTTAAAAGAGCATCAAGTTTGAAGGCATCTAGACATGGTTTCTAACCCTTGCTCTGACACTTATCATTCTGGTGACACTGAACTACATACATTTTAAACCAACAACCTGCAAAGGTATTAAAAGGGGTTAATGATCCTAGAGGTATCCATATAGTGCACATAAAATTTCCAGGACGTACAGCACCTATCATTAGCACTGCTGTATCATTTAATTCTCTGGAAATGACTCCAACATGATTATTGTTTTTCCCATTTTCACAGATACCAAAGTAAGCTGCCCAAAGTTTCATAGTGTCGCATTGGAAGATTCAGAACACAAATCAAGGCTAGCCAAGTGTCACATTTATGTATTTTTCTAGGGTACATACCTGACTTCTGCCAGAAAACACCAAGATCAGTGATAAGCAGGCAGCAGAAAAACTCTTTGCCTTTTCTTTGCTCATAATTCATCACTTATTTGGCAATTGATGAGCATACCTGACTAAATTAAATCCTAAGAATACTCCTAGACACCTAGGGTGATGGTGACTAAGAAAGCTAGAAAAGGTATTTCAGGGAGTGGTAAAGTAAGAGAAGATGTATGGATGATAGTACCATGGGACTTTCTTATTATTAAGGAAGGTTGATTTTAATCACATGAATTTTATTAGTTCAAAGACCAGCTTACCTTCCTGTCCTCTAAACTCTTCAATCCTCAGCTCAGTAGACACTTTAAACAGTAGTGAAAAAATAAATATACCTACACATATACATGGGCTTCCCTGATAGCTCAGTTGGTAAATAATCCACCTGCAATGAAGGAAGCCCTGGTTCAATTCCTGGGTTGGGAAGATCTGCTGGAGAAGGAAAAGGTTACCCACTCCAGTATTCTTGGACTTCCCTTGCGGCTCAAATGGTAAAGAATCTGTCTGCAATGTGGGAGACCTGGGTTCAATCCCTGGGTTGGGAAGATCCCCTGGAGAAGGGAAAGGCTACCCACTCCAGTATTCTGGCCTGGAGAATTCCATAGGCTTTATAGTCCATGGAATAGCAAAGAGTCAGACATGACTAACTGACTTTCACTCACTCACTCACATACATATATGTATGCATTTCTGACTACTCATTATGTTAGAAGTTGTTGTTTGGTAGCTAAGTCCTGTCCAACTCTTTTTGCGACTCGTGGACTGTAGCATGCCAGGCTCCTCTGTCCATAGGATTTTCCAGGCAAGGATACTGGAATGGGTAGCCATTTCCTTCTCCAGGGTATCTTCCTGACCCAGGGATCGAACCTGGGTCTTCTGCTTGGCAGGCAAATTATTTACCACTGAGCCACCTGAGAAGCTCTATATTAGAAACAGGATTATTTAAACATATTAAATATCAATCTAAGAGACCAGTTATAATTCTTAACTGCCTGTAATCATACAAGGTAAGAAATTGGTTCACGTTGGCCTTTAGGCTGGAAGCTTCTTGAAGACATCGAAGTAGCACTGGTGAGAGAAGTCTCACAGAGTATTTTCTTGCACACCTGATGAGGAATGCACCGTGGTCACTGCATTCACATCCGAGTCCATCAGAGAGGCACAGCTGGATTCTGTCAAGACCCCGTGGATGGTTACCGGTGCAGTGGCAGAATGGCGCAGGGCCGCCTTCAGTGGTGTAACATGGTTGTACTGGACTGAGGCCAGACACCCGACAAAACCCAGGGCATTGGCTTTACCGACTTCAGCATCCAATCCAAGATTCTCTGCAATGTGAAAAACAGCTAGTTAAAAAACAAATAAATACAAAAACTACTCCATCTCTGTGCTAAGTAATGTCTGAAATTACAGAAAGTGACTTTTTATTCTTTGAATAAAGGAAATTGTCCTTTCTCTCTCTTCATACACTTTCTCGAAAGTCTACCCAAAATATAGTGTCAATACATCTACCACATATCACAGAAAATTGCTTGGGCTATCTTGCTTTGAGATAATGTTTCAAACTTCTAAATTTTCATTCATGTATTTTATGAACTGTAACGAACACTTAATAAATCTCCTCTACACTCTAGATGTTTTATATTACAGAATTTAGATCATTATCTCCATCACAATTTATTTATGGATGCTGGTGATTAATTCAAGCATACTACAATGCTCATTACATACTTCACTCAAAATGATAGTAAGAAAAAAAGTGAAATGAGGCAGAGAGATAGGAAGTTCAAAGTGATCCTCTCAGAAGTGCGTCATGTTTCATGTTTTCAGCAGCTTGTATACACTATAGACAAACACATTTTCATACACTAATATGTTGACCATCTATTCAAGATTTTTACATGCTTAGTTCTGTTCCTTATTACTAACTGGTGAGCATGGATTTTCTATGACAGCACTCAATCTCCCAAAGCATCTTTGAGTTTTTATAAAAGATAATGAGGCAATCATTATGAATCATGGCAATATCAAATGTCTCATTTTCTTCAAGATGTGTGGTAATATTACTCAGTATGCCATTTCTTTATTTTAATAAGGATAATTTGAACAAGTTTCTGTGATGCAATTGCATGAAACGACAATGCAGGATGGACTTTCCCCCCTCTTTTAAAGCATAACAGTTTCAATAGAACTAGGTGGTTCAAATAGTTATTTTATTATGATAATATGCTTATTTTCTGGAAGAAGACAAGGACTTTCCTCTCAATCAGATTAATTATAATTTACTTCCATTCATAAATGGTCAAAGTGTGCCTCCAGGGAACACCAAGCAAGCATTTTGTTGGCCACATTTAGGGAAGATATATAGAGGAAAATGAGAAATGAATATCCCTTAACAGTGCTATTTCTACTTTTGACCTTATTATTCCTTCCTGAGCAATGCCCATGTAAACCTCACTAATTTATCATCCCTCTTATCTTACAGGAGAATAAAAGAAATTATGTGTATTAATTTAATGTGGCTGTTGTAACAAATTATTGCTGATGTTGCTCAGTCACTCAGTCATGTCCAACTCTTCCCTACCCCATGGACTGCAGCACCAGGCTTCCCTGTCCTTCGCCATCTCCCAGAGCTTTCTCAAACTTATGTTCACTGAGTCAGTGATGCCATCCAACCATCTCATCCTCTGTCGTCCCCTTCTCCTTCCTTCAATCCTTTCCAGCATCAGGGTCTTCTCTAATGAGTCAGCACTTTGCATCAGGTGGTCAAGAACTGGAGCTGCAGCTTCAGCATCAGTCCCTCCAATGAACATTCAGGACTGATCTACTTTAGGATGGACTTGTTTGATCTCCTTGCAGTACAAGCGACTCTCAAGAGTCTTCTCCAGCACCACAGTTCAAAAGCATCCATTCTTCAGCACTCAGCCTTCTTTATGGTCTAATTTTCACATTCATACATGACTACTGGAAAAACCATAGCTCTGACTAGACACACCTTTGCCGGCAAAGTAATGTCTTTGCTTTTTAATATGCTGTCTAGGATAGTCATAGCTTTTCTTCCAGGGAGCAAGCATCTTTTAATTTCATGGCTGCAGTCACCATCTGCAGTGATTTTGGAGCCTAAGAAAATAAAGTCTGTCACTGTTTCCATTGTTTCCCTATCTATTTGCTATGATCTTTGTTTTTGAATGCTGAGCTTTAAGCCAGCTTTTTCACTCTCCCCTTTCACCTTCATCAAGAGGCTCTTTAGTTCCTCTTCACTTTCTGCCATAAGGATGGTGTCATCTGCCTATCTGAGTTTACAGATATTTCTCCCCACAATATTGATTCCAGTTTGTGCTTCATCCAGCCTGGCATTTCTTGTGATGTACTCTGTACAGAAGGTAAATGAACAAGGTGACAATATACAGCCTTGACATACTCCTTTCCCAATACGGGACCAGTCTGCTGCCACCGGAGACTCCCTGGCACTCACAGGAGAAAATGACTGTGTGTCCTTCTACTCCACCATGTTGAAGCATTTGATCATAAGGATCACAAGCCTTGTCTGGCTCAATGAAACTATGATCCATGTCATGTAGGGCCACCCAAGATGGACAGGTCATGGTGGAGAGTTCTGACAAATGTGGCCCACTGGAGAAGGGAATGGCAAACCACTTCAACATTCTTGCCTTGAGAACCCCAGGAACAGTATGACAATGCATAAAGCCACGACACCGAAAGATGAACTCCCCAGGTCAGTAGGTGCCCAATGTGCTAGTGGAGAAGAGCAGAGAAATTGTAGCAAATTAGCAGCAGCGTAAATTTAAACAATTCAGCATAAAACAACACATGCTTTGTCTTACAGCTCTGCAGAAGTCTGATACAGGTTCCCACCGGGCTAAAATCAAGGTGCTGTCAATTTGCATTTTTTGTTAGAGGCTCCAGGGGATAACTCATCACTGTCTTTTCTTTTGTTTTCTTTCTTTAAATTTATTTATTTATTTTAATTGGAAGTTAATTACTTTACAATATTGCAGTGGTCTTTGCCACACTGACATGAATCAGCCACAGGTGTACATGTGTCTGCCATCCTGAAACCCACTCCCACCTCCCTCCCCATTGCATCTCTCAGGGTTGTCCCAGTGCACCAGCCCTGAGCACCTTGTCTCATACATTGAACTTAGACTGGCGATCTAGTTCACATAAGGTAATATACATGTTTTAATGCTAATCTCTCAAATCATCCCACCCTCACCTTCTCCCACAGAGTCCAAAAGTCTGTTCTTTACATCTGTGTCTCTTTTGCTGTCTCACATATAGGGTCATTGTTACCATATTTTTAAATTCCATATATATATGTTAATATAATGTATTGGTGTTTTTCTTTCTGACTTACTTCACTCTGTATAATAGGCTCCAGTTTCATCCACCTCATTAGAGCTGATTCAAACACTTTCTTTTTAATAGCTGAGTAATATTCCATTGTGTGTATTGTGTACAGCTTTCTTATCCATTCGTCTGCTGATGGGCTTCTTAGATTGCCTCCATGTCCTAGCTATTGTAAATAGTGTTGTGATGAATATTGGGGTACACCTGTCTCTTTCAATTCTGGTTTCCTCAGTGTGTATGCCCAGCAGTGGGATTGCTGGGTCATATAGCAGTTCTATTTCAAGTTTTTAAATGAATCTCTTCACTGTTCTCCATAGTGGCTCTACTAGTTTGCATTCCCATCAACAGTGTAAGAGGGTTCCCTTTTCTCCCCACCCTCTCCAGCACTATTGTTTGTAGACTTTTTGATAGCAGCCATTCTGACCAGTGTAAGATGGTACCTCATTGTGGTTTTGATTTGCATTTCTCTGATAATGAGTGATGTTGAGCATCTTTTCATGTTTGTTAGCCATCTGTATGTCTTCTTTGGAGAAATGTCTGTTTAGTTCTTTGACCCATCTTTTGATTGGGTCATTTATTTTTCTGGAATTGAGCTGCATGAACTGCTTGTATATTTTTTAGATTCATTTTTTGTCAGTGGTTTCATTTGCTATTATTTTTTCCCATTCTGAAAGAAGAGAGTGAAAAAGTTTGCTTAAAGCTCAACATTCAGGAAACTAAGATCATGCCATCTGGTCCCATCACTTCATGGCAAATAGATGGGGAAACAGGGGAAACAGTGGCTGACATATTTTTCTGGCCTCCAAAATCACTGCAGATGGTCACTGCAGCAATGAAATTAAAAGGCACTTGCTCTTTGGAAGGAAAGTTATGACCAACCTAGACAGCATATTAAAAAGCAGAAACATTACTTTGCCAACAAAGGTCCATCTAGTCAAGCCTATGGTTTTTCCACTGGTCATGTATGGATGTGAGAGTTGGGCTATAAAGAAAGCTGAGAACCAAAGAACTGATGCTTTGAACTGTGATGTTGGAGAAGACTCTTGAGAGTTCCTTGGACTGCAAGGAGATCCAACCAATCCATCCTAAAAGGGATCAGTCCTGGGTGGTCACTGGAGGGACTGACATTGAAGCTGAAACTCTAATACTTAGGTCATTTGATGTGGAGAACTGGTTCATTTTAAAAGACCCTGATGCTGGGAAAGATTGAGGGCAGGAGGAGAAGAGGACGACAGAGGATGAGATGGCTGGATGGAATCACCAACACGATGGACATGGGTTTGGGTGGTCTCCGGGAGTTGGTGATGGACAGGGAGGCCTGGCGTCCTGTGGTTCATGGGGTCACAAAGAGTCAGACACGACTGAGCGACTGAACTGAACTGAACTCTCCCATTCTGTAGGCTGTCTTTTCACCTGGCTTATAGTTTCCTTCGTTGTGTAAAACCTTTTACATTTAATGATGTCCCATTTGTTTATTTTTGCTTTTATTTCCATTACTCTGGGAGGTGGATCATGGAGGATCCTGCTAAGATTTACATCAAAGCGTGTTTTGCCTATGTTTTCCTTTAGGAGTTTTATAGTTTCTGGTCTTATATTTAGATCTTTAATCCATTTTGAGTTTATTTTTGTGTATGGTGTTAGGAAGTGTTCTAGTTTCATTCTTCTACAAGTGGTTGGCCAGTTTTCCCAGCACCACTTGTTAGAGAGATTGTCTTTTCTCCAATGTATATTCTTGCCTCCTTTGTCAAAGATAAAGTGTCCATAGGTGCGTGGATTTATCTCTGGGCTTTCTATTTTGTTCCATTGATTTATGTTTCTGTCTTTGTGCCAGTACTATGCTGTCTTGATGACTGTAGCTTTGTAGTATAGCCTGAAGTCAGGAAGGGTGATTCCTCCAGTTCCATTCTTCTTTCTCAAGATTGCTTTGGCTATTCGAGGTTTTTTGTATTTCCATACA